CATTTGTGTGCACGGGATTCTGAAAGAATTCTAAACGCCCCATTCAGAGATTTCAAACTTGCCAAAACTAGCTGATATGCATCAGTTGGTGCAGATCTGAAATGACCTTTGTAATCGCGGGCCCTTGGCCGCGTTCGTGGAGGTCAGGCGACCTGATGGCCGCAATCGCTAGTTCTTGTCCACTTCACAGGGAGGTATTCGAGGAGGTTACATTCGTGGGGGTCGCATTCACGGGTCCCTGCCGCGATTGCGGGACCCTAGTTTTTTTTTTGCCACGATCATGGGGACCTTGTTGGATTTGCGAGGCATGCATTCGCGGAGGATCCTTCATGTTTACAAAGAAGAGAGCGGCCTGGTCTTAATTAAAGTCCAGTCGCGATGGCAACATTAATTTTAAAGTTCAATTGGTGATTTCTCTCTCGTTTTAGTTTGGATTTGGGTGATTCTAAGTCGCATACGTCCAGAATTATTGAGGCTACATTGGGGAGTGACCGGGAAGTGTTAGTGAACCTCCCTTCAAGGTGAATTTTTGTTTTAAGTTGTTGTTCTTGTTCTGTAGTTGAGTTAAATTATGGAGTTCTTGCATGTTGTTATTGTTTGTTGTTTCGGACCCCGAATTGTGTTCAATTTTGGAACACAAGCTCGGGGCATGGTTTAGGACCTCTCGACGGAGTCAATTTCAAAATTTTTGGTGTTGATCCACAATTTCTATTTGATTCCGAAATTAGTCCATTTCTATCTTATGTTTGTTTTGTGTCTAAATGACCATACTAACGTTGTGATCCTATTTTTAATAGCGGGGCAGTGTTCGAAGGTTATTCAAAAAGGAAAATCTTCAGCCTTGTGATTTGGAGAGCATGCGGTAGGCCTACAGGTAGGCTATGACTTCATTCCTAATTAGATTGAGCTTGAATGCGTGAATGCATGATAATTATAGCGAATTGGGGATGGGTACCTAGTAGTTCTTATTTCTCTTCTTTGATACCATGTTTTAGGATTGATCGACATTTATTTCAAGCTTAGTACCATGCTAGTTTGGGTTTATGAGTGTTGTTCCATATTAATTGTGTTGTTACTTGTTGTGTTGTCCATATCCGGCCTTAGTCTTGGATAGACTAGTGTTGCCTTAGACTCGTGAGTCTTGTAGTCTTGTTTCATCTCCGGCGTCGTTTTAGATGGAGTAGATCCTTGTAGACTGGAATAGCAGACTTGATTCTAATATTGTGAGCCTTAGTTTAGGTGATTTCACACCTTTATAGACTTTATGTCTTCTACCCCTATCTCTACGGCTCAGATGCATTACCAGAGGTTTATGCTTCCGCGGCGACTTGTGATTGGATTGTCCTAGGCTTGGAGCCTTCTGTTTATGCTTGTGGGTGAACGTTGTTCCACGGTGACTTAGTTCTAATATTGAGATCCTCTTCGAAGTCGACACGTCCCTTGTCACTCTTGCTAGCTGGGATAGGAATTGACTAGACACTACGATTATTCTAGTTCGAGGCTGATGTTTATGGTTTGAGCTCGTTATTTTTTGTTTGAGGCCGATATTTATGTTTCGAGGTCGTTATTTCATGTTTACATTTTAAGGCCATTATTTTTTGTTTGAGGTCGATGATTACTGTTCAAGGTCGTAACTTCCAGTTTAAGGCTGATGATTACGATTCGAGGCCGTTACTTCCAGTCTGAGGCTGATGATTATGGTTCGAGGTTGTTACCTCTGGTTAGAGGCCATCACTTAGGGTTCAAGGCCCGGAGTATACATATTGGATCTTGATTCGAGGCACTTCATTCTTGTAGTCTTAGCTATTATGTGTACCTATCAGGCTTATGGGATTCCATTCCGATTTTATTTAAACTTGCACATGAGTTTATCTTTTGAGCTTATGGGGTCCAGCTAGGTTAAGTTTAGTTGTACTTAGATGTACTTTCGGTATGCTTGTGTGTTTCCTTTCATATCCTCTCTGACATCTGTTTTTGTCTAGATTCTATATTTTCATATTGCTTTTACTTTTCTTGCTCAATCGGCCTATGATACCTATTGAATACCATTGTTTCGATACTCATGTTATACTCTGCATCTTTTTTGTGATGTAGGTCCTAGTACCAGCTAGCAGTGGTGATCGCTTGTGCCATCTTTTGCAACTTTTGGGGATCGAAGACAAGGGTGAGCACTTGGCGTCTCAGCCTGTCTCTTTCGTATATATGTTTAGCTAGTATTTTGCCTTTGAGACGAATTTTTGTGGTCCACTTTTGGGACTTGTATTTTGATATTAGACAACTTTATACTCGTGACTGCCAGGTTGTGGGAGGGATTCTATTGTTTATAGATTTTTGGGCTTGCTTCCATTTTTGTCTCATTTTATTGTTTAGTGTTAGTTCTGTCTAGTTCTACCCTTTTACTCATTACTTGCCATTCTGGGTTACGAATTTCCTTACCTACTTGTGGTATAGTAGTTGTCATCATTACTCGAGGAATCGGGCCGTGACACAAACGACCTTAGGGCTATCAAAAGAACTCCAAAACTAATACAAGATGTGAGAAAGTTGTGTCCAAATAAAAAATAATTGTTGTTGTAAAATCACAGATGAGATGAATTTGGTGGACAAAACTCCACCACACTTTCTGGACTTTAGAGAAGACATCAATTTTAGTGTTGGAATTGCTAAATTACGAAAAATAATTACATGAAGTTTGTTAAGTTTGGAATTTGTCAATACTTATCGAGAAGGATTCATTTTTTTTGTTTAAATGTCAATTTGCAAGTGAAATAAAATTAATCCCATCGTCCTACGTGGAATACACCACAAATTATAATTGTTCTACAATTAAAAATGAAATTCTTTGCAAAGGAAGTGATCATAGATATCTTGGAATCAAAATGATGTACAAGCTAATAAGTGTGAACACACATAAAGAAAAAGGATAAAGAAATGTGTTGGCTCTTTGATTTCGGGTACATCAAGTCTTGTCTCATTTCAATAAATCTACACTTGACAAATCTTAAAGTAAGAAATATCTATAGACATATAAATATTGTTGGATTCAATTCACACAAAATTTGGATTAAATTCGTGTTCAATTGGATTGAATAATTAATTTGAGTTTCACAAATGAATAAATCAATTTTAATAATTTTAAGTTCAAGGTCCATTTCATCTCGAGGCCTAAGCTCATGCCACGTGTTAAGGTGACTTGGCATCCTAGTCAAGTTCAAGACAAACAAGAGGATGTCATGTGTTCAAATGATATAGCAATCATGGTCAAAGTTCATCAACCAATCAAAAACCAACTTTATCACATAACATATTTGATGACTTACATGAAACAATCACAAAAAGGCAAAAGAGTTCATCCACATTTGGACAGTCTCTCACCTACAACTATAAAAAAAAAAAAGGATTACATAATTTTTTGAGAAAGTCTTCAAGCATTGGAGAAAGCTACAGCATCAACTATAGCAAAGAAAAGAGAGCTCCTATTTGTTACTAACAGTGATATTGAACTAAAATTAGCAAAGAAAACAAAGCTCGTATTTGTTGCGAAAAATGATATTGAACTTAAATTAGCAAACAAAAGAGTGCTCCTTGACTTGAGGGATCCAACCAAGATGACTAGTTAAAGAAAGGATCATGTTATATATTTCAGGAGCTAGATTAGTTGGTTATGAACAAGTAAGATTTGCTTGAATCAAAATTATAGGAATTAGACCTAAAGAAGGCATCTAGGTTCATTATTGACTATGTATTAGTGGAAACGTAAAAAGAAATTACATATCAAATTGAATAAAGGGATAATTTTATAGACCTCCCCTCAAGTTTCGCTCTATCACATTAACCTCCCTCGTGGTTTAAAATATTACAGAAACATCTCTTATTTTGATATTTTTGTAACAACTCTTTTAATCTATTTATTTTTAATGTAAATAACTATATTTTGACTAATTTACCCTTTTCATGATAAATTCTTCTAAATAACTAACTTTATCAATATCTTCTTTAAAGATTCTTCAGAAGTACAAAAAAAAAATAATTTTCTTTCCTTCCATCGTCCCCCAACACCTTTCTAATCATCATTTGATTCAAAAAATAATATATAGCCCGTTCAATTTTTCTTCCATTGTCCACTAGCATTTCCCTTGTTTTAGAAGAGCAATCATCCAATTTGGGATGATGCTTTATGCATTTTATCTTCCGCGAAGCCGTAAATGGCAATTGTTTTATTGGGGTGTGTGCGCATCTCTTTGCTTTATGAAAATTGTACATAAGCAGCAGATGAATTCAAGTAAGGCATTTTTAATTTCACTCTTTAGTGCATAAATATCTAATGGATTTTCTTGCCTTTCTTTTATTAGTATGGTTCTTAGAAGAACATGATTTTTCAACTGGAGAAATTATGTTTTATTAAAAGGATATTCATAAAAGTTTAATAGAAAAGATAAATTAGTCAAAACATAATTATTTACATTATAAATAAATAGATTAAAAGTATTGTAAAAAAAATCAAAATAAGGAAGCTTTTTGTAACAACGAGAGGAGGTCTATGAAATTTTCATTTGATATAAAAGATAGATCAAAATCATGTTGTTGATTGTAATTTGATGCAGGAAGAAACTACATATCAAATTAAATAAATGATAGATTCAAATCATGTTGTTGATTGTGAATTGAAGTAAGAAGAACGAGCAACGATTAGATGGTAATACTAATACTAGGAGTAGTAGCAATGTCATGTCCATGTGAGTCGTAATGTATTAGAACAATATTTAAATGAAAGTATTAAACATAAACTAGTGAGATGTTGATATTGATATTGATAGTCACAATATAACATAGTTTTGGCAGTTGATTTTAGCAGGCTGGACTCTTGTTCAACAATTTGATTACCATTGAAATAGAAATTACAAGAAAATACTAGATAGGCCGATTGATACAATTAGAACAATATGTATCAAAATTCTTAGTTGTAGACAAATTAAAAGGACAAAACACTGAAAGGAACTCTAATCAAACAAGCTAAACATGGCCCCTTCATCACTCTCTTCCTTTGCCTCTTCCTGAAATTAAAATTCACAAAAAAATAACAATCAGAAATTTAACAATAATACAAGGGGAAACAGATGGAGTTATTATACAACAACCAAATCAAATCGTATTTAAGAGAGAAACATACCTTTTTCTCGCCAGCAGCAGGTGCTGTCGCAACATCTTCACCAGTAGCAGGAGCAGCAACGGCAACAACGCCAGTAGAAACAATGGATCCACCCGACCCAACGTTCATGATAAGCTCCTCCACATTTTTCTTCTCACAATGCTTTGCAAAAAGGATGGGGCAGTATGATTCCACCTTCACATTGGTTGCTTTCACCAATGTAGTTATTTTCTCAGCCTAAATGGAGGAAAAAAAAACACATAAGTACAAAAGTAAAAAGACTGGATCTACTAAAATAATCAAAATTAAATCTCGATTGCGTTACAGTAACAGGAATGCCATCAGTGTGAAGGATCAAGCAAGCATAAGTATAGGCAACGTCTCCGGTGGAAGACATCTGAGAGCAAGTTTTTCTGAAAACCCTAACTAGGAGAGGATGATTTTCTGAAAACCCTAACAAGCAGAGAAAGTTTGGTGACTTATAGGGTTTTGTGGGGATATTTATAACTAGATTTCTTCGGGCCCAAGTTTCATTTCAATTTCGTTATTGATCCAATTTTATTTTTTCCTTAACTATTTTTCTATGCATCTCTTGTTTAAAATAATTTGTGGCTGAAAATTATTAAAGGTAAAAAGAATAATTTTGAATTATAATAAAATAACACTTTCTTTTAAGGACATTAAAAAATGTGATGTAAAATGGGAGGAAAGAAGTATTATTGTAGAGGGTAAGTTTTGAATCTAGAAAGATAGAGATGGCTAAAAATGCAAAGAAAGAGAAGAGGGAAATAAAATATTAGGGAAAAGGGATAAATTTCACTCTTAACTTGTCACAAAAAGTCAGTTACACGTTTAAACTATCATTGTGACCTATTACCCACCTAATCTTGTTTAAAGTGATATTCATACCCCCTTTCGAAGACATTCTCAGTTTTTGCGCAAAAATGTGTTATACACTCGTTTTGACACGTAAATAATATTATTTTAATTTTTTAAAATCTTTTTTTCTTTAATTGTTTTTAGAGTTCTACAAAAAGTAGAAACCTGGCAATCTTCCTCCTCTCTCATACATTTTTCTCTTTTTAAAATTAATTTCTTCCTCCTTTTATATTCATAAATTGAATGAAAATGAGAAATTTGAAAAGAGAAAGAGAGCCAATAAGACGATTATGAAGTATAGAGATGTTGGCGACGGCGATAAGTTGCGGGACAACACCATTGTTGCCTGTGAACTTTAGATCTCTAAAAAAAGACAAAGATAGAAATAGATTTCTTTGATAAATTTAAGCAATAGAATCATGAATCTTATGTATAGATGTGATATGATTTTCAATATAAGTCATTATCTTTGTCATGATTTTTTCCGGTGATCTTTTCTGGTGAGTTCAAGTAGAAAAATTGCAAACTTTGGCGTAAATTTTGTTTTGTTTTGTTGCTCCCTTTTGGGTGAAAATTTTAAGAGTTGTTTTGGAGTCCCATGGAAAACTCAACAAATAGAGAGCACGAGCTATGAGTATTGACTCAACGAAAGTGAGGACATGACTGTAGATCTTTTTTAATTTTTGTTTTAATTCTATGTTTGTTTGATCCTTTTAACGTCACAACTTGAGATAACAATTGTTCTTTTTAGAATTTCTTTTTAAGGATAGGTATTGGATATGCTTCCATGAGGATAAATAGAAGAAATCATCAATGTCGACAAATGACAATGAATTGTTGAAGAAGAACTCAAAAAAAGATAATGTAAAAACTTTAAAGAAATTGGGGCCACCAATAAAAAGAAAAAAAAGAAATTTTTTTTTGACATAATTAATATATTGGAATTTATAATACTTAATTGTATAATGATCAATAAAATAGTGTCACGTGTTCAAACTTATCATTTTAACCTATATTTTCTTCTTCTCAGGTACCTTAAGGAAAGTGAAGACATTTTTCTCTGCCATGTCACCTTTTAAGGGGATATTAATATCACTTTGAATAAAATTAGGTGTATAATAGATCACTACAATAATTTAAATGTGTAACTAACTTTTCGGTATAAGTTTAAGGAGGAATTTATGTCTTTTCTCTAAAATATTAGACTATGATTCATCAAATTACCTTTTACAGCTTTTCTACAAGGGCATTAAATACAATACACCAACATACACAATACAATAACACATTATGCTCGCATCACCAAATATTTTACACCACTTGATTAGTTTAGTAGCTGAAAACGCTTTCAAACTCTTCTTTAAAATAAATAAATACTATAGTTTTTTACAGTTAAAAAAAGATTTTGAATGTTAATTAATAGAGCTAAATATCTAATTTTATTATTTTAAATCATTTATAATTAATAACTACATAACGTATTCTATCTTCAACTCGTATAAAATTATATTTAAATTTTCTATTAACTGCAATAATTATTAATTATGTAGAATTATTAAGACACAATCAAACATTATACTTTTATGTCCCTTTTTACTTGTTCAATTTTAACTTTTTTGTTATCCCTTTTTACTTGTCATTTTTAACGAATCAAGAAAAGACAATATTTTATTACCTATTATATCCTCAATTTATTTAGAGAGTTAATATTTTTTTAAAAGTTAGAAAATCTTTAATGAGTAAATTAATTTTGGCATTCTATCAATTAATCGGGATAAAATGGTTAACTCACTATATCAATTATTATTTCTTTAATAAGTGTTGTTTGTAGCATATTTTAAAGTGACAGAAAATGCATGAATATTTCATGACTTTTGTGGAATATATCGAGATCTTGATCTCTTAATGGAATTTTTGAGATGCCTTTTAAGGAAATTTAGTACACTTTATATAGATATTAACTAGGGTTTAGGGTTGAGTAACCTCCAAGAATTCTAATTGAAATTGAACATGCCTTCTAGAGTCCCAATTCGAATTGAACACATATTGTAGAGTCCCACAAAATTTCAATGTCTACAGGCTTGTCAAATAAAAAGTAGACAAGTAAATAGGGTCATAGAGAATATAAAATTATTATATGACTACCTTTTATACAACATTTGAAACTTATCAATAAACATTGTATAAAATAAATACATGAATAATTTTTATTCTATTAACAAACCAAATAATATATAAAATTAATAAATGAATAATCAAGTTATTCATTCTTAGGTTGAGCCTTAACTAACTACCAAACGACCCCTTATTACTTACTCCATTATTTTGTCACGTTTTGAATTTTAAGAGTCAACTGATATAGACTATAAATATATTTTCGTTGAGACTGTTCGAAAAAAAAAGAAGAATATATTTATCATCATACTTATATGGGAAGAATATAACTTATAGTATTTTTATACAGTTTTTAAACATTTAAAATTATAATTTTAAAATTTTAAATGATTCTAATTCAATTTTGCTCCTAAGATAAGTAAAACCGACTCTTAAAGAAGAGAAACAAGACAAGTAAAGGTGTAAAGGTGAGTATAGGGAATAAAATCTTAAGTAATGAATTTGTCTGCCCACTATCGTACAGTCTTATTTTTTCCCTTCTCATTTAAGTGTTTGAATTATTCACTTAATTTTTCTATATTGGTCAAATGTATATTTTCAAGGTTAATAACTTACAAAGATAAAATGGGATGAATATTGTAATTTATGTATTGATTTTATGAAATGATAAATATTATGAACTAACTATTTATAGTAAGGACGACATATAAAAAAGAACTAAGGAAATACTCCCTTTGTCCCTAATTACTTGTTCACTTTTGAATTGACACACTTATTAAGAAAACAATAATTGACATAGTGACTTTACCATTTTACCCATATTAATTATGAAGTGGATGAATTAAAAACTTAAGATTTTCAAGAAGTTCTACCTCTTTTCAAAGTAATTAATTGAGGGTATAATAGATAAAAAAATCGTTCTTTCTTGATTTGTCAAAATGGACAAGTAATTAAGAACAACTAAAAAAAGAAAAAAATGACCAAGTAATTAGGGATAGAGGGAGCAATAGATAATTGATTCTACAATTGAATAGTTGTAGTGACTTTCCTTTTGTGAAAGAATTGTGTTGACAATCTTAATTTCCATTCCTAAATAGCTATTGAATGTCCATAAAAGTGTCAATTGACTATGGTCTTTAATATCCTAAATACATTAAACTCTTCGTCTTTATTGATATTCCTATTAATCCATTCCAATAATGAGGTCAACATTCTTAGAGGCATTACCCATTTTTAATAGATAATGTTCTTGTCGTTGTGGATAGGAGGAAATATGTATTCCTTTTGTTAGAACAGAGTTCTCCGGTCTATACTTTGTTAGGCTAGGTTTTCTTTTTAATTTTTGTTACATTCTAACTCATAGTTTTATATTAGCAAAGCTTGTTGAATCCTCAAAATATATTTATATCGGATGAAATAACTTTATGGACAGTGTCCGACACGCCTCAAACTTTGGTGAGCTCCGTACAAGTGTTCATAATGAGATATTTTCCGTAGCATTTCCAACCAAAAAAAAAGAAAAAAAGAAACACTTAAATGGAAACACAAAAATACCATATGTACATAATTATTAATATATCTGTTATATTTATTTATTTTGTGGTGGATTTAATTTGTGAAATAATTTTAAATTTAATTTGCTTGATATTTTTTAATTATATTTAAATCATCATCTTAATATTATATCAATATTTAATTTATTTTTTTATTCATCTATTTATAATTATGATTGATAATTTGAATATGTACATTTTAATTTAATAAAAATAAAAATTAAATTAATTTTTTATAATAGATATGTAAAATAATCTCTCTATATGAATAATCTTAATACTAAAAGTGCATTGATACGTATCATTTTTTTGTAATATGACTCTCAAAAGTACGATTACCTAAACACAGTTTGCTTTTCACAAGCATTTTTCAAATGAATTAACTAAACACAAAATTATGTGAAAATCTGCTTATTTTTAGAACCACTTGAAAATAGTTTTTAAGAAAAGTGCTTTTAAAAAAGTTTTATTTCATTTGAAAAGTATTTTTGATAAGCAAATTGTGTTTAACTAAATTTTTTAAAAAAAAATGCTTCAAATTACAAAAAAGTACAAGTATCAATGTACTTCTTCAAAATCAGTTTACCGTCAATACAAGGACCCTAAATCCCGAAAATCAATGAAAACTCATTCCAAATCGATCTTCATATCAACAATTTTTTATTTCTACTTTGGGGGTTTAAAATCTACACTTTGTGGGTAGAAACCATGAAATATGAAAGAGATTCTTGGGAAAAGAGTAAGATAGGGTTAGAAATACATACCCAATGATTATGAAAGAAAAACACATAAAAAATCACCTCAAACGGATCTTTCTAGCTCTCAAAATGTCAAAAATTTGAAATGGGTT